GTCTATCTGCAAGCTTGAACTGAAAACGAAGCTCTTCTGCGAGACTTTCTCATTTTTCGAAGTTGAAAACATCAAAATCGAAGCAATTCTGCGAGACTTCTTCATTTTTGAACTGGACAACATCCAAAACGAAGCACTTCTGCGAGACTTCTTCAATTTTTGAACTTGGAAACATCAAAAACAAAGCAATTCTGCGAGACTTCCTTCAAAAATGGAAAGTTGAGTGCAGAGCTGACCGCCTCGTACCAATGCGTTTTGCAATTTTTCCAGTCCACCTGTCGGAAGTATTGCGCCTGCCAGGAAAAAGTGATGCCAGGACATACGAAGCGCTGCACCTGTGACGCAAAATCATCTCAGCAAACCTGAAGATCTGATGCTCCAAAATGCGACCCTTCTCAGGAAATCAGCGCCCTGACCTCCGAACAGCTCCGATGAAAATGTCTCTTGTACTGCGCCTGCCACGGAAAATGCATCTTTGCAGATCCTCTTCAAATGTCCCACGCCTGCCATCGTTTTTGGCAATGCTACAAAACCCTCACGTTTTGCTCACTCTTGAGAAGGTGCACAATCCCTTGCGCCTGCCACGCGAAACGAGATCTGAACGTCCAAAAGTGGTCCGTACGTGGTGTGTTTTGTACATTTTGACTTCGAGATGTGCTTCGCGCCACAACGGCATGCACTTTTTCGACATCTCAACTTCCAAAAGTGGTCCAAACCTGGTGTGTTTTGTACATATTGACTTTGAAATGTGCTTCGCGCCACAACGGCGTGCACGTTTTCGACATCGCAACTTCCAAAAGTGGTCCGAGCATGTCCGAGCATGGTGTGTTTTGCACATTTTGACTTGGAAATGTGCTTCGCGCCACCGCCACAACGGCGTGCAATTTTTCATCTCTCATCTGGCCAGATGGCTCCGCACCCGCCGCTTTAGCGAGCCTGCTTTTCGACCCTCCGGAGCCACAAATCATTGGAAAAACACAGTGTTTTGCGACTTTCCTACCTTTTCGCGCATCTGCATCTTCTTTCTTCCGACTCTTTATCTTCTCTGATCTGCTCTCTTCTACTCTTCTCTTCTCTCTGCCTCTTCCCATCTCTGCTTTTCATCTGTCCATATTGTCGGAAGTTTGACTTCTAAACTTCCTTCGATTAGTAACCAATTCCCCAACGGTGACTCTCCCAAAAGTTTATGGCTTGGGAGCCACCAACAACCACTTTGAAAAAGGATCTTAACCAGCTATCATTAGGGGACCCAACGGAGATCCCTGGAATTCGCCCTTCAAAATTATCCCGGCAAGAGACCCCAAACAGTGTGGGGGAGGGGGAGGATAATGTATGATAATGTTGATGATAATGTTGAGGAGGAGGATGAAAAGGATGATAATGGTGATGTTGCGGAAGATGAAGTGGAGATTGATGATGTTGAGGATGATGAGGTCAAGGAGGAGGAAGATGATGAAGTGGAGAATGATGATGTTGGAGAAAGATGATGATGTTGAGGAGGAGGGTCGATCCCAAGACCGGGAGCCACACTTTGCGCGAGCCTGCACAGTCGAAATGCACTTGGACATTTCACATGGGCCACTTTGTGCGGAAATTTCCAAGTAAAATGCCGCAGACCAGCTGAAGCACCCTGATCAAGCACCGGCCTTTGCTCTTACCATAAGAACCCCTCAATGTGGTTTGGGGAAATAGACCAAAACCTCCCTTGGGTCCCCGCCAGAAGCCAGTGGAATTGCTGCCATCCCCAGTTAAAGCTTTCCTATTGGGGCAGTTTGCCACATCCCAAACTTGACATCCGTCGTTGAATCCACCACCAAAATGCTGCAGAATTGACCTCTTGGAGATGCGGTATATCATAAATCAACTTAGTTTTGCACCAGTTGTTCTGCACAGGATCGTTGCTCATACAAGCTCACACATCTCGCTGCCTGTGGGGTTTATAGTAATTAATCTTGCCCATTCTTGGTTGGTTCATCCTCAAACAAAATAACTTTTTACAACATTCCACACCTTCCACCACTTTATCGGTTCTAAACTCTTGTTCCGGCTTTGTCTTTGCTAAGTTCCGGCTAAACTACAATAAGCCACCAACCTGAAATAAACCCATTTTGGGATGACTTCCTCACCAAGGTTCACTTCCAGTTCATAAGTGACAATATGGCCATATGCCATGATCGTAGGGGTTATATTCCCAAGATGTTTGGGTGTTATTAGTTATTGCCATGGTTTTAAGGGGGTATACACCAACTGGTTGATTTTTTCGTTGTTACTACCATGATCAGGTGCCATTTGGATGACGCAACCAACTGCATCCCCATGCCCAGATGCACTGCGATTGGGCATGGCGAGGCTAATGATCGTCATCCTTGCAACCTTCGGTTTTTCGAAAAACTCCCCAGATACTGCCGGAAAGGAACATGCTGGAAAAGGGCTAGATAAATTGACAATAATTTACATTTACATATGTATCGCTTTCTGAATACCAATGGAATTTGGGAGATAAAGAGACATTGCCATCTTTTTGCATGAAAATATGAGGTATAAATGCCACTGGATGGAACCGGTTTGCCTGACTTGGACGAATCAAAATGTGGCCGTACTTATTGTGTCATCGTATTTTGTTTTTTCCCCAACATGTTAGAAACCAATGCTACAAATCTGGAAAACGGGTTTGTGACCCAAAGGTCTATATCCATGAAAACAAAGCACATAGTAACATTGAGTTAAAACATGATCTTCTGTTGGAGATGGTACTTTCTGGGTTCGAAAAACTGTTTAGGCAACCACCGAATAATGCAAATGTCACTGTGACTCTGACGGTGCTAAATTTGGTGAATTCACTGCCGTCGCTGATCAAAATTCCCGTATGTGGGTATGACTGGAAAACGTGGCTAATAATCATGATGTGGTTTTCATATTCCCTTTTTGTTGGTTGGAAATCCCCTCGATTTTGTTGAACCCCAGTATCTGCACCCATCTCCCTCCGCACCCGCTTGGCAGCATAGAAAGGATATCCATCGTCTGTGCAGCCGCGAAAGACTTCCACATCTGGGCTCACGATGCCTTGAAGTCACGCGTGCTATGCTCAAAAGTTGCATTCTATGCACATATTGGAGGATGGCCATTTATTCATTTTCATATGGATATACATTATACATATACACCCCCTCCCACCCATTATGTTTGGATTCCCATTCTGGGACAGATAACCATAAACCATATACATCTATATGTATATGATTATATATATATACATATTGTTATAATTAAATTATATATATATATTATTATGTATAATACATAAAATAATACATACATATATATAATATATTATTATATATTACACTATATATATTATAATATATACATACATATGTATATATATATATATATTATTATCATTATTATTAAAATATGCATATCATGTTTCTGACCATGGCAAATGTGGCTATGGCTCCAAATTGGGGTACCAATTCTTACCCACAACCTTGGTCATCTATCCATGATCCACCCCTGCTCAGCCTCCTAATTACACACCAAGTCTTCTAGGAGGCACCCAGGTTGTACAGTGGTAGGTCACATGTGCAAAGTCTATCTATCTGTATATATGTATATATGCTGTAATATAAAAAATAAAACAACATATTATAATGCAATATAATATAATATAAACTAATATGAATAGAACAGAACAGAAAAACAGAATAGAACACATTTTCATATACACATATAGTATTATATAGATATTATATATATATATATGTATGTGTGAAATATTATTGAACATACCGTCTGCTCATCATACCTTGCAAACGGACAAGCCTGAATTTCTGGAGAACTGATCGCAACCCCCCAAAGGAAAAACAACTAAAATCATACTAAAATAGGACCATGTAATAAACTACGTTTCTATCGTTTGGCGGGCTAATAGTTACTATAGCCCCTTCCAAAACATGGGGAAATCGTATCGCCACATCGGCTGTCTGCCAACACCACTCAAGGTGTTTTGGGATGCTCAATACATTCAGTCTCTGTCGAATGATATTGCTTTCAAATCAATCAGACTGGATTACAAATCGGTAAACCGAGAAAAACAAATCCTACAAATACACTTTTCACATCTTTTCACTATCCGGTTTTGCGATTTGGGGGTGATGATCAAGCCCAAAACATAAATGTTATATGTAGGTTTACAACAGAAAGTGGCTGACAGATCCTCAACAGATCACTTCTTGCCCTCTAACAATCTACCCCCGCGATGTGAAACGATCCATTGTTTCGAATTAAAAAGCACTAGTAACATCATCAGACTCAATCACTTGGAATCTAAGCCCAGGTTAGCAGCATTCTAGTCCTATTTTGGTCAAATGATATGTCCACATGCTTTCCGCTAAGACATTGGACTTCCCGCTGGAGATTTTAACACCACGGAAAAATCGTTTCTCATTTGGCATCATCATCCATGTTTTAAGGAAAACACATGTGAAACCGACAGCAAGAAAACCCCTAGATAGGAAACAAATTGGTTCACAATAAAAGCTAATCAGGATTGATTCACTTATAAGATATCAGATGTATCTACAGTTGGACGATGATGGTGTGCACACACCGTCACCCCATGCAGCCCAACTTGGGCGCCCAATGTCGCAGCGAGCAGCAGCCGGTCTCGGGGATATGGCAAATCCAGTCGCTTCCCCCGCGACTGGGTGGATTGCAGCGGCTGGGAGCTGTCACCTTTTGCTCCTGACGGAAGATCCCGCGGGCCATTGGCAGTTTGGATCCCATGGTGGGCTCACCCAGTTGTGGGATAAGCCGCGAATCGGGGACTTACGAAGCAGCTTATGTTGGCCTCAGCCATCCTGTCCAACGTCCGACAGCTATATATGTAGTGTCCTGAAATGTGAGTACCCCCAAAACCATAGCTTTCAATATACTAGAATGGTCTCATTTTGGATGATTTGGGGATACCCCCATTTTAGGACCTTCATTTGAAGAACCTCCCCATAAATTTATATAGATATATGCCAAGACATTGCGGTTCCCTAAAGAAAAGTCAGCATCTGCATGGCATCTACCTCCTAGAAACTTGGCAAATGATCAGAAAAAAACATCTTGGGAAACAAACAGAAAAATAAGCAGGTTGTTGACGCGGTTATGACCATTAATTACGGCCCGACCATATTAGTTGTGAGAAAAACGGGGTTGCCTCTCTTTCTAAGAGGACACTGCATCAACGGAGTCTCCAAAATTTGATCATGGTTCCTGTTCACCTGACATGACAAATCAGGGGCAGGTCATGCTGGGTTATAATCCACTAAGATATTGGGAATTGCTGGGATATATCCAAGTGATCCTCGGTGACAAACCATGCTTCTTCATGGATCCATGTTGGCTAAAGCCATGCTAGTGTGAAATTCTCATCTTCCCTTTTTTTTCCTCCGGTGAAATCCATCTTGCTGCATTTTTTTGATTGGCTAAATCATCTTAACTTTCTGCTTGTGACGGCCGAATTTCGACTTCTGTTGATTTATGTAAGTGGGTTGCCCACATCCCCCACATGTTTGTCGCATATATATATATCATAAATCCCCACATTTGGTACTCAAATCAATCTTCTTCTTGCTAAAAAAATCACAATTTTGGAAAGTAAAATCTCATCCACCATCATTTTTCATGGTGAAATCCTATTTTTAAAAAAAAAAACATGCTTGTTGGTTTAATCCCATAAAACATCTCCATATTTGACGCTGGCGCCAGCAGCGCTTCCACGGCCTTCGCCAGGGTCTGTGCCTTTTCGAGAGATTCGAAGAGCGTGGAGCCTGAGATCTGATGGTTTTCATAGCTACGGGAGTTCCCCAAGAAAACTGGTGAAAACTGGTTGTTTCAGCAAGAAAAATGCTGGTTTTATGGGAACTTCTATAACCGTCATAAATGCTGAATTGACCAATGAATATAATGGTTTAATGGAGATTTTTGACGGGATATTTGATGAGATATATCTAACTTAATCACTCAGGATCATAATTCTACTTATTTCTTTCTCAATATACAAATTTGTTGATGATCCCCTGTGATGATGTAACACGGCTATGGTTATGGCCATGGAAGTAATAGGTATATAATTCAAATCAATAATTTTCCATGGCCATGGCAATGTTAAATTACCAGAGGGTACTACAGTTGACGACGGGTCAGCGGTCGTTTTGTTTTTTCCTGGTATTGTGAAACTGCTTAAGTTGACTTTGTTCATAGTTGTCTGGGTCATTTACCAACGTGGGTTAAGGATGCAGCATGGTTGCTGGAAAACCATCAACAATGGTCAACTTACATGAAGACTTCGCCGAGCAAAATGATGATTTTAACAACAATACAGGGGGAACATATGATCAGAATGACATAAAATGGTAAAGAATGGGTATATAGATATAACCAACATTAACCATCATATTAATATGGGAGAATCAATAGTCCAGTTTCGGGGGATTAATATGGATTTACACTTTGGTAATTTGTGACATAGCGAACTGGAAAATCACCATGTTTAATAGCTCAATTGTCAATCAGCATAAATCATCTATATAATTTATAGAGTATATAAATGGGCCATGTATACCATAGCTAGGTGAAATAACCAAAGGGTATATAGTATATGATGGTATATGGTATAAGATTAATGGAGTATAGTCATCGCAGCATATCCCACCATGGAGTGGATGACCATCCCACGGTTGCGACCCAACATTGTTCGGAAAATGGGTATCTAACAGGCGGGGAAAACGGATTACGTTGAACCTCCATGATTTCTTAGCATCGTATAGATATATTCAACCTTCCATTGTTCCTGAATGATGAATGTATCCCAACATATCATAAATCACAATCATATGGAGGTGTCCAAAAATTGGGGTACCCGTATATATCACCCATTTCAGTTTCGGATTTTCCATAGAATAAACCATCCAACTATTGGGGTACCCCCATGACTATGGAAAACCCTCTCTCACTAAAAGCTCCAAGCTGCGCATGCAGATGGATTCTTCCAAGGCATGCCGCCCGCCCGTGCAAAACCCGCCTGGTTTCGTAGGTTTCGGGCAGGCCATCCCGTGCCATACTGCAAAATATATTTTTTTGGAAATCTCGAACAAATATGATATGTGATATAGCATACAGCTTGAGTATTGACAGTATTGTACAAGAATTCCCTGTATAAGAATTTGAAGGGCTCGAATCGAAGGCGGGCTACATATTTTCAGCTATACCAAACACATACTACTTTAAGAATTTGAGGGACCCTGGAAAAGGATTGCCAAATTCTTAAATTACTGCTTAATTATACGTGACGCGTGACCCCTGATGGTCTTGTGGGATGAAGTCGGGGCTTTGCAGAAAAACCATTTTTCAAGCTCCGAAAACATGTTTTTTGCACACTAATCTTATGAAATTCAGACAAGCCTGGCTTTGCAAAAAAACAGGCTCTATGATCTATGTTTTTTTCCAGCACTGCTCTCATGAAACTTAGACAAGCCCAGCTTTGCAAAAAACAATTTTTCAGGCTCTAAAAAATTATTTTTTTGCATGCCTCTTGTCAAATCTGCCAACTCCACCTCCTTACCTCGTTTAAGTTCGCTCCAAATTATGCAGATGCATGCAATACATAACTAAGAATGCCTTAAGAATTTGAGGGACCCTCGGCCTATGGTGGTGTAAATTTGCCTGCATTTAAAAAAAAGAAATTGAGGGACCCTGGGCCTCAAGCTTTCGGATTCTTAACCAGCGCTCGGGCTGTATAGAAAAAAATAATATGTTCATCTTCTAAGAGAAAAAACGCATGGGAAAATGATGAGTATGAAAAACATAATGGGAAAGAATAAGACAAATATTAGAAAAGTATGGGAAAACTGTCGCAACAAATATGAAAACACCAGAGGAAGCATACATACAGTACAAAAATTCAGTGTGTTCGTTTTTTACCCAGAAGGGCATTCCATTTCTCCACTTGCGATTATTTCTCCCAAGTCTATGTATATATATAAATACATTATGCATATACGGGACACATTGGAAATATGTTATTGATAAAATATATGTAACATCTCCAAAATTGGGATCCCACATTTCAAGCACACTGGCCTGTTTACTGTAGGTAATCCAACCTGGCAGCGGAAAATGTACCATTTGTGTCCATCTATAACGCCATAGTGGATGGATTCTCCATCAACACCTGTACTTTTCCTCATGGTGGATGGCCCGAAAGATCTCTCCCATTTTGCTTACCCTCCAGTAATCAAACATGGCATTTAGTATCATTTAGTCAAAACCTCCATTTATGGATGATTTTGCCTTCAAAACCTCCATTTATAGACCGTTGAAAGCTACATTGATCATGTCGCAATTTATAGGGAATTTCCATGAATTTCCCATCCAGCCAGACAGGTTTCATTGATTCCCACCTCCAACATGGTATGCTGATGCAGCATTCACTGCGACTACGTGATAGCCTGAGCAATGGCTTGACGGGGAATTGCGGCCTCGATTTGTACCCCCAACTTTTCATAGCAGATCATGTAAAATCTTAGTAAAACTGTGATAAATCACGTGTCTTTCAGGGCTTACTATAGTTACTGTAGTTACTACAAAAAACCGCCTGGAACTCTGACATAGCTAGGGAAGGTTGGAACGTTTTGAATGGACATTATCCACAGAGGAAGTCCATCGCAATGTTTGTTTAGCACGGAGTCAAACTGGTTTGACGCTGAGCACTGGGCATCGTAGGAATGCAGGAACAAATGCACACATAGGTAAGGTCGAAGCCAAAGAGGTGTGATGTGTTTGCGTGTGTGCTTGGATCCATAGTCATTTTGTTTTTGGTTGCTCATCTAGATATGAGCCTGTGTACACAGAAAAGTACGGCAAACCTAGGCTGGTAAAAACATGTAGTGCCCACACACAGGTGAAAACATGCATGTACTCCAAAACATGAAAATAGAAAACATACTGCAGTGATATATTATCCATAGACATAGTCAATACGTAGCAGGCAGACTTCATACGTGACAAGTACACAGGGTACCCCCACACATGGATCATGGCTGCCATGGCTATGCTTTCGATATATCCCCATAAACATCCATGGGCCCGTGACTAATGATCTTGCCTATTTGTTCAAACTAACTTACCTATCTGTTGGTGGGTCACCTTTGTAATTGAACCACATCTCAGATGGTAAAATGGATGTTTACCCTCCAAAATGGTATCATAGGTTTTGGTCTATCCCCATATCAGGTACGTCCCAATGAAATCTCCATGTATCTACCCACCATTTTCAGTGATGTTAACACTTTGGAAATCATTGATTTCTATCCTCCCCGATCTTTCAAAAACGCGGACATGGGGGTGATGAACATCCTTAATAAGCCATTCTGATTCCGATTGTAATATTCTCATCATTATTTTTGGGAGGGCTCTGACTCTGACCCATTCCCAGGTTGTATATGTAAAAATCAACAAAGTACATAGGTACGTCTCAGCATTGGATGAAATCCCAATAATTTAAAACATCGGTTTCCCCATCAACATGTCCATCTACCGGGGCTAAACTCCTCATGAACATTACAAACCCATCGAACTCATGTTCCAACTAAAGCGAAGCTACTCTCCCAAAAACAGCGATATGGTTCAAGGAACCAAAACCATCCAAAACCATCATCCCCTTTCAGCCCAAAGGATCTGCTAGTTCGCTGGATGGTGATCCCCAACAAACCATTGGGCCCATAGGTTTTCATCTGGCAAACACTATTTCATAAACCATCCCCGTGTCATCACCAGTTTTAGGGGTCCTGCAGTATAAAATGGATAAACCATCCCAAAATGGTAGGTTTATTCATTAGAATTTCCTACATTAAACCATGTTTCTGAGCACATTGACTCTGCCCAGGGACCATCCTTTGCAAGGCGTCCAGCAGTCTCCTCACCACAAGGGGCATCAGTTGTGAATGGGCCTTTCATCATGTTTCACAATGGTTTTGGTTTTGGATGGTCTTAGATACACATAAACACAAATTGGCTTCAAATGGTTTCAACTGGTTTTAACGGCTCTATTGTGTTATCTGCCAGTCTACTGAGGTTCTAACCAAGTGATAATATACTTATAATATCTTATAATAGATGATAATCTAGTACGGGCCGACAGAACTAAACAGGCGTTCAACGGTCGCAAGCATCTGGGGGATGTCGGAAATGTGAGTCGCTTGACCCAGGGATCAATGGGTATCAATCAATAGCAGTGTGATCTTTTGAACCATGGACTTGCAACCAGATCTACAGCACCCGAACCTGCCACTCTTTGAGTTCATTCCGGAACAAAGCAAAAAATGGTGGCTACCAGCAACGTTGCCTTGCTGGCTGCGCAAAATTGTTGTAGTCACTGTCCAGAACTCCAGTATTGGTTTCCCATGGTTTCCCCATTCAGAATTACTAAGGTTGGATGATTTGGGGTGCTATGGGCTGTTGGGATTCTGACTTGATACTGACATCACCGATGTCAACTGGCGACCGAGAAAAATATCACATTTTCTATGACTGTCGGTGTACTTATATGAGTAAAATTATCGCAAAATCAACAATAAACATGGTAAACTATGGAGAACTATGGCTATCAAATGGTTTAGCACTCCAGGTCATGGATTCATGTTTACAAAACAATTGACGCGAATCGGAAGGTCCGCTTGTCCCCTTCCTACTCAGTTTCTGCGGGGCCAAAGATCGTTGTAGCACAGCATGTTGTTTCAGATTTTTGACCGTGAACCCATCGAAATCGATTGAATTACTATTTGGGTACAAATGTTTTTTTCGGATCACAATGTGTACCGATGCCGAGTTGGCAACTTGAGCAAAGAGCGTTGCAGTTTGCCAAGATTCATGCCGGTACATCCAAATTGCATATATTTTATACATACATTGTATATATCATCATACTAATTGTAGCTAGTTACTTCAACAATTCTTCCGAACTTCATGATGGGTCTTAGAAAGAGTAGCATGGTTTACTGGCATAATTGCATGGTATACTAAAAATTCCGCAGTTTATGTCCCAAAATGATGAACCCGTGAAGCCACCGACCGTTCCCAGGGTTTTTTCATTGTGGATGTTTGGTGGGGGGGTTCATACAGGATTGTATGAGGCCTAAAATTGGAACATTTCCCATGAAAAAAATACTGTATCACTGATTTACCCATTATCCCATTGATATATTGATCTACCCATTTATCATCGATACAATCCGATACAATCTCAGACATGATCATCATTGATCATGATGATTTAACCAGTGAACACCAAGTTTTTCCAGTTCGAGGCCAGCTATGTCGCATCGCCAAGCGTCTAAAAGACTATTCATTTCCCCAAAGTGCCACGTCGCAGCAGTTGCGTCGGGGGATGGTGATGGAGGAGCTTCGGCTTTCCAAACAATGCGCGTGCCGTCCAGCAGCGACCTGGAATTGAAGCAGTGAAGCAGGTAAGCAGGTGTTCGAATGGGGATTATTCCACTTCGTCCTATAAATGTACCTAAATGTACCTAATATTCTGGGGGGAGACACTAGTTTCTAACCAGAAATCTCGAAAATATCCAACTTCAAGAATTCATCAAGAACCTTCAGATTCAGCTGTTAAAAAAAAATAAAACATAAAACTAGATTGTTCACTACTCGCTGCCAGCTACAGCACCATGACATGTTTTTGCAAACTTCCAAGCCGATAGCCGATAGCCACAAACAACTCGCTGCATCAACCCAACAACAAAGCAGTCCCCCCCTTTGAAATGCAGTGTCAATGGGTTGGTTGGTGTGTTTCATGATCTTCCTGTACATTTTCTGATTTTCCGGGATTTTAGTAATCCCACTTTCAGTCAGCCCGATGTGGAAAATCACAAGCATGACCGCTACAAAGACACTATCCCCAAACCCACTGATGTGGTGACTGTTCCCAACTTGACATGTCAAGACTTGGCAAAAACAGTGCAGTGGGTTTACCCATCTAAATAGGTACACAACCAATTACTATACATTGATGGTTTAATGTCTGAACGTTTGATAATGTTGGTACATAATGGGAAACATGACCAACAACATCCAACAACAAAAAAATAAGTATACCACCCCATTTATGGCCATTTGCTTAAATTATGTCTCAGACATGTTTAAACCATGAGACGAAAATGTAGAAGGGGAGCTGGACTGACAGCCCTCCAGCGAACCTTGTCGAAGTAATGGTGGTTTTGCGGAGGGCTCTTCGAAGTTTGAGAATGTTTAATTTCATTACAGCCACACTTTGTCGAAGTGGGGAAAACTTCGACGAAGTTCCGCAGAACTTCTGAAACCAGTGGATTATTTTGGTTACCCAATCTATACCCTCTGGTAATCAAACGTGGCAATGGAAAATCCCTCATTTATAGATGAATTTCCCAGCTATAAACCTCTACCAGTATTTATTAAATTTACCTGGGATTTCCCAGCATGCCAAGTTTGATTACCGAAGCGTCAGCATTGGGGTCGAGAAGCTGGACATGGTTCAGCCGCACGAGCTCCTCTCCAAATTTGTAGCCGCCAGCTTTGCAAATTTCCCTGGGCGGGTGCTTGGAGAATTATACGTCGTTGGTGGTTGACAAGCCTGGATAGTTAGAAAGTCCCAGACTTATGGGGTGATCCCACAAATGGCAAATAACAAATCACTCTGGTAGCCAGTTACTCAATGTGATGATCCTCCAAGTGACCTACCCACCCCAAGGACACGCCCGATCAACCTGCCGGTAAGGGGGGCTCATCCCCCAAATCTTAAATGCCCACATCAAGGGACCCCAAGATGAATGCAACATGGATATCACTATCGTTCATATATACTAAATTAGTATGTATGTAATTAATTCATTATTCTTATCATTATTCTTCGGGGAAGGGATTTCAATATGTCATGTAAAACACCGAAGCTGATGCTGTGCAACAAAGCTTCCTAGTGCGTTCAGCTGCTGCCTTGCGCTTCTCCCGGTCTGATTTGTGGCTGCTTTTCTTGATCCAATGAAAATTGCACGGCCCATCATCGCCTTCAACGTGAGGTAACCGCCCACCTCCATCGACAGATATTCGAATACTTTCAGGAGTACCTGGCTTTGCTGCTGGCTGTGGGGAAGCTGTTTCTGTGGCCGTAGGTGGTGACTCTGGACTGCTAGCTGCCGGCGGCTTTGCCTCTGCCGGGGTTTGATCTGCGCTAGCAGCTGCCTGCGCTGGCTCCCCAGTGGCGCCAGCTGCAGCCGCCTTTGCCGCGGTTTGATCTGCGCTAGCAGCTGCCTGTGCTGCCCGTCCACTGCCGCCAGCTGCAGCCGGCTCTCCAGCAGCTGCCTGTGCTGCTTCTTCAGTTGCAGCCGCCTTTGCCGGGGTTTGATCTGCGCTAGCAGCTGCCTGCGCTGGCTCCCCAGTGCCGCCAGCTGCAGCCGCCTTTGCCGCGGTTTGATCTGCGCTAGCAGCTGCCTGCGCTGGCTCCCCAGTGCCGCCAGGTGCAGCCGCCTTTGCCGGGGTTTGATCTGCGCTAGCAGCTGCCTGCGCTGGCTCCCCACTCCCGCCAGGTGCAGCCGCCTTTGCCGGCGTTTGATCTGCGCTAGCAGCTGCCTGTGCTAGCTCCACAGTGCCGCCACGTGCAGCCGCCTTTGCTGGGTTTTGATCTGAGCCTGCAGATGCCTGCGCTGCTTGAAGATCTGTGCTAGGAGCTGGCTTCGTTGGTGCAGCTCCACTGCCACTAGCTGCAGGTTGCTGTGCCGGCGCGCTAGAAGTTGGCCTTGTCAGGGCAGGTCCGCTCCCACCACCTGCAGGTGGGTTTGCCGTGGGTTGGAGATCCCCAGTAGAAGGCTCCCCACTGCCACTAGCTGCAAGTTGCTCCGCCGGCATTGTGAGTCTTTGTGGGTGATCTCCTGGCAGGTCTGCGCTAGTAGAAGCGTGAATCGTTGTGGGTGGTCTTGCCGGTGCAGGTCCACTGCGACTTGGAGCTGACCCAGCAGCTTGGGAGTTTGCTCGCCCACAGCACTGTGCAAAACAGTGGTCACACATACGTCGCGGTGGCGGGTCTGCTGGGGAGGGGCAGTTTAAAGGCGCCGGCACTGCGCTTGGTGCCCCATGGACCACGTGGAAGCTCATGTCTCCACTGGGTCCCCGCAATCCCTTGGGCGGAGGCAGCTCGCAGTAGCATTCACAAACACAGTGATGTGTTGGGCTGGTGGCAGTCATTGGGCGCCGCTCTAAACTGAGAGGGTTGAAGTCTGGCAACCAGGAAGGCCTCCGCAGTACCCATCGAGGTCTAGGGCTGCATTCCTGAGCCGCGATTGGGGTGATCCTACTTGGCAAACCCTGCCAAAGCGGCTGTGAAAGCGTCCTCATGGCCAACTTGGGCCAAACCCAACCTGTCCCCAATCCAAAGCACAACTAATTGCTGTAACTTCTGAGTAAAACTGAAACCCCCAACAAAAGGAAAACCATTCAGAAAGGTCCCAAAAATGCTGCTACATTCTCGCTATGTGTAGTTGGCATCCCCATTTACAAGATCTTACAGGCGGCAGCCAAGACTCCTCAGACCACGTTACCGGCCGCCACGGTGACACCGGCGAAGACCAACCGCGCCAGTCCGGACAGGGGCGCCGCAGAGCCGGGCGTTCCAAGCGCTCCATGGGCGGCTCGCCCGGTGCCCAGGGGCTGGGGAGAAACCCCGGTGGATGGCAATCCACACATTGCGGTGGCAACCTGGAGGCCGGGGAATGATCTGCTGGAGAAAATCTGTTCAAAGGCCCCCCCAATGCTTCAAGTTTTGAATCAGAAGGGTAAAACAACACGGTATGTGAAACGAGTATGGTTGGGTTTACCACATAAATAATTTCATCAAGTAGCTGTACCGCAAATAAAGATAATCCAAATTTTGCTCGGGGAATTTGACAAGTGGATACAAGACTAAGAGGTCGATGACTGACATCTGCGGTCAAGAATTCTCGGAAATTTGTTTCGCAAATGTCTTGACCGTTTTTTGGAGGTTACTCTCGACTGTCTTCTCCACATGGGACAAGTTGCAGACATCTTGATGCATGTCAGAATGGCAAATCACGCCCAAAACGGGTCACCGGAAAACATCATTTCATATACAGTACCATCCTGATGCATAGTTTACTTTCATCATACGTATAATTTCGTCATACTGTGATCCCAACCATTCCAAACATATGACGTCTCCATTTGGGTACAGGTCAAGCGATCAGGTACCCTTTGAAAAGGAATGATCACCTTCAATGATGAACCTAGTGGCGGTACGTGTCCCTCACTAAGATCAAAACATCACGATCATCACGACTGGTAGGGGGCTCGTCATTGTGGGTCTTAACCATTTCAAAACACGGTAACGCTATATATCCAATTCATTTATCATCATTATCCAAAATCATGGCCATAAATCTTGAGGCTTCTTAATTCCCGATTGTGAACCATACATGATCCAATGATCTGGGTGAATTACAATACTTCACTAACCAAATTATTTTAATTCTTACCTCGTCTCCCTCGTGACTCGTGTCTTAATTTGTTCCCCATGATTACTGTCCTCGTTCGTTAATTTGCAGGTGCAAATTAAGGCTTTACCTCGTTAATTCAAAGGAAGAAAGTAGCTTGTGGGCCTTCTTTCCAGGGTCCAACCCCAAGGAAAAAACTTTTCAGCTTCCGAAAATTTTTTTTCCACGATCCACGGTCTCTTGCAGGGATTTTTAAATCTGAGTCTGATCGGTCTTTGCGCTTCTTGCGCTTGGGTGGTGACATCTCTGACATTATCGCAGAGATACAATGCTCTTCTGGAGCAACTCTGAATCCTACTGCTTCTGCAGCCGTCAACCCACGAAGCGGGCCTCTGGCGATAGAAAATAAAACTTTTTGGGGCCTGAAAAGTTTTTTTCCTTCCTTGCCTGCTGACCGGCCTCTGGCGATAGAAAATAAAACTTTTTGGGGCCTGAAAAGTTTTTTTTCCTTCCTTGCCTGCTGACCGGCCTCTGGCGATAGAAAATAAAACTTTTTGGGGCCTGAAAAGTTTTTTTTCCTTCCTTGCCTGCTGACCGGCCTCTGGCGATAGAAAATAAAACTTTTTGGGGCCTGAAAAGTTTTTTTCCTTCCTTGCCTGCTGACCGGCCTCTGGCGATAGAAAATAAAACTTTTTGGGGCCTGAAAAGTTTTTTTTCCTTCCTTGCCTGCTGACCGGCCTCTGGCGATAGAAAATAAAACTTTTTGGGCCCTGAAAAGTTTTTTTTCCTTCCTTGCCTGCTGACCGGCCTCTGGCGATAGAAAATAAAACTTTTTGGGGCCTGAAAAGTTGTTTTTCCTTCCTTGCCTGCTGACCGGCCTCTGGCGATAGAAAATAAAACTTTTTGGGGCCTGAAAAGTTTTTTTTCCTTCCTTGCCTGCTGACCGGCCTCTGGCCCCCAAAAAAGTTTTCTAGCCAAGCCCAAGCATGCAACAGAACCAATGCAAGGCTACCTCGTCGAGGTCGGCTAATTCTGATGAGCAAATTAAGGGCTGACCTCGCTAATTCCTGCAACCTGCCTCGTTGCCTCGGCTGTCCTCGCTAAAATTTGTGCAGAATACATTTACCATGATTCCAGTCAGATAAAAGGTCGCTATAATTCACCCAGAATGATGTATGCAAATATAGCAGCACCAAGCACCTAAGGGTTGACCCCCATCTACGGCATCCCACCAGATTCCTCTTGCTTGGTATATCAAGCCATATGGAGATTTCCAATAAATGGGGATACCCCAATAGCTGGATGCTTCAAAAAGTGGATCCCAAAGTAAAATGAGGGTGATTGGGGGGTAGCCCCATTTTGGAAACCTCCATATGGCTATACAATCCAACCTTTATCATACCAGCAGGTCTTACATCCCCTTATTTATATCCACATCAGTGTCGCATCGCAAAGTACACAGCTATATCTAATGGCGAAAATCTCCAAATTTTGCCTATGGATGACAATGGCACACATGGGTTTGTCAAATTTAGGGTACCCCTATATCCACTGCTTTCATCATAATTTGCCCTTTTAATTCATGGTTATTTCGTGGTATTCCCCATCAGGCGTACAGCGGCGTACCCATATATCATGTGGTTGTTCCCCACCTGCCCGGTGAGGGTTGTTAGATATTATCAGAGCTGTTCTCCTCCTCCGCCTCCTCCTCGCAGTCCAGATCCCAGTGGGCACAGCCGGACCTCCACCGCCAGCTCCAGATCCCAGTGGGCACTGCCGGACCTCCACCGCGAGCGCGACTTCCAGATCGCAGTGGGCACTGCCGGACCTCAACCGCGACTTCCAGATCGCAGTGGGCACTGCCGGACCTCAACCGCGACTGCAGATCGCAGTGGGCACTGCCGGACCTCAACCGCGACTTCCAGATCGCAGTGGGCACTGCCGGACCTCAACCGCGACTTCCAGATCGTAGTGGGCACTGCCGGACCTCAACCGCGACTTCCAGATCGCAGTGGGCACTGCCGGACCTCAACGGGAAGAAAGTGAGAAAAGATGTGAGATAGAATGTCAGAAGATATGCCAGATAGAATGCCAGAAAGAATGTCAGAAGATATGCCAGACAGAATGTCAGAAGATATGCCAGATAGAATGTCAGAAGATATGTCAGATAGAATGTCATAAGATATGCCAGAAAGAATGTTCTGAATGCCACAAGATATGCCAGAAAGAATATCAGAATATATGCCAGATAGAGTGCCAGAAAGAATGTCAGAAGATATGCCAGATAGAATGCCAGAAAGAATGTCAGAAAGAATGTCAGAAGATATGCCAGATAGAATGTCAGAAGATATGCCAGATAGAATGCTAGATATGCGAGATAGATGGGGGGGTCGAGAGAAGATGTGCCAGATAGAATGTCAGAAAGAATGTCAGAAGATATGCCAGAAAGAATTGCATAAGATATGCCAGAATGTTCTGAATGCCACAAGATATGCCAGAAAGAATATCAGAATATATGCCTGATAGAGTGCCAGAAAGAATGTCAGAAGATATGCCAGATAGAATGCCAGAAAGAATGTCAGAAAGAATGTCAGAAGATATGCCAGATAGAATGTGGAGTATGTAGCTATATATGCCATGGTGGGGATCATTCGAAGTGAAGTATTTTTTTTCTCTATCCCATGTTGTATCCCATTGTGCCCTCTCTCTCTCTACACATAATATATATATACATATATATATATATATGTGTTTTTTACCCATTAAACATTTATATTGATTGTATATATACAGAAAAATATATACACACATCAATGCTTTGATGATTAAGCCACCAAGTGTAGTATTTTTTGGAATCGTTGAATCCTTATAGTATTTCTCACGGGTAAATCATTGTTTTCCATGATTAAATATCCATTGTTGTAACCCTTTACACACCCATTAAACCACTATATTCATGGGTCAAATCTCCTGTTTTTGATGGTCAAACCACCATTTTTCACCATTCATGTTTCTTGAACCCACAAATAGTGATATCCTTATTCCCGAATGCGTAGCAAGGGTTCCCGTTTCACTCTGGGGGTCTGGGGGTTGAGGGTGTGTTCGCTCGACGTTGCGTTTACGGTCGCAACCGTCCGCAACCGCTCGCAACCGCTCGCAACCGTTCGCAACCGTTCGCGTGAGGACCGTATGGCCATGCCTATGGTAAGTTCTGCAGAAGTGGTCATTTTTGGAAGTTTCAAACATCTCGTTGCTTCGTTTCGCGTGGCAGGCGTGGCACTTCGTGACATTCAGACGTGTTTTGTAACGTGTCGAAATTCGTTTTGTGTGGCAGGCGCAATACTTTTGCGACGTTTTCCGAAGATGCGTTGCAGTTTTCGTGGCAGGCGCAGCACTTTCGACGTGTCCATCGTCATTTTGCGTGGCAGGCGCAGCACTTTAGACGTGTCGTGTTGCGTGTTGTTTGCGAATGGCATTGGCAGGGCAGCGTCGAGTGGCGACAAGGTGCAGATTCCGTGGCAGGCGTGGCATTTTGTGAGATATGTTGAAAATTGACGGAAGCCTGGCACAAAACATTGATTTTGAGGTAGCAAATTCAGATGCTCGTAGGAAAACGTCGATTTTGAGGCTACAAAGTGTCAAAATTGGAGGACGTCTCGCATGAAATGCTCGTTTTGATGCCCCCACGTGTCTCGTCTCGAGTCTCTGGTTTTCCTGTGGCCTCGCCGTGTCTATGGGGGAAGCTGCAAAAGCTGTCCTTTTCGAAGGTTTTCAATTGTGAATTTTGGCGGAAGTCTCGCCCCCACGTGTCTCGTCTCGAGTCTCTGGTTTTCCTGTGGCTTCGCCGTGTCCATGAGGGAAGCTGCACAACCTCTCCTTTTCGAAGGTTTCCAAGCAGGTTTGCGTGGCAAGCGTGGCACTTTGTGACATTCCAACTTGTTTGATAACGCGTCAAAGTGTCAAACTTGGAGGAAGCCTCGCACGAAATGCTCGTTTTGCTGCGCCCACGTGTCTCGTCTCGAGTCTCTGGTTTTCCTGTGGCCTCGCCGTGTCTATGGGGGAAGTTACAAAATCTCTCCTTTTCGAAGGTTTTCAAGCAGGTTGTCATGTCGTTTTGCGTGGCAGACGTGGCACTTTGTGAAATTCCAACCTGTTTTATACCGTGCAGAAAGTTCTTAGTGTGGCAGGCGCAACAATGCACTCCACACTTTACACTCTACACTTTACATTCCACACTCTACACTCCACACTCTACTCTACATTTTACACTCCACACTCCACACTCCTCACTCTACACTCCAAACTCCACTCCACACTTTCCACTCCACGCTCCACACTCTACACTTTACCCTCCACACTTCACACTCCAAAATTTACACTTTAGACTCCTCACTCCACACTCTACACTTTACACTCCACACTCCACACTTTACACTCTACACTCTACACTTAACACTCTACACTTTACACTTTACACTCTACACTCCACACTTTACACTTTAAACTCCTCACTCCACACTCTACACTTTACACTCCACACTCCAAACTCCTCACTTTACACTCCACACTCCACACTCCACACTTCCCACTCCACACTCCACACTCTACACTTTACACTCCACACTCCACACTCCACACTCTACACTCCACACTCCACACTCTACACTTTACACTCCACACTCCACCACACTCTACTCTTTACACACCACACTTCCCACTCCACACTCCACACTCTACACTTTACATTCCACACTCCACACTCCACACTCCACACTCTACACTTTACACTCCACACTCCACCACACTCTTCTCTTTACACACCACACTCCACACTCTACACTCCACACTCTACACTTTACACTCCACATTCCACCACACTGTCTCTTTACACACTCCACACTCCTCACTCCTCACTCCACACTTTACACTCCACACTCTACACTCTACACTTTGCACTCTACACTTTACACTCCACACTTTACACTCCACACTCTACACTCCACACTTTTACACTTTCCACTCCGCACTCCACAGTCTACACTTTAAACTCCACACTCCACACTCTACACTTCCCACTCCACACTCCACACTCCACACTTCCCACTCCACACTCCACACTCTACACTTTACACTCCACACTCCACACTCTACACTCCACACTCCACACTCTACACTTTACACTCCACACTCCACCACACTCTACTCTTTACACACCACACTCCACACTCTACACTCCACACTCTACACTGTACACTCCTCACTCCACACTTTACACTCCACACTCCACACTCTACACTCCACACTCCACACTCTACACTCCACACTCTACACTTTTTACTCCACACTGCAGAATGGTAACAGGGGAAATATGTACAAGACTGTTCAAAAAAACTTTTGCAGAAACGTGTTCTGGGTGACTGCATATCCGTGTGTTTCGACATCTGTACCATGAACATACGTGTGAGCGCTCGGGTTCGTGGGCTGCATCTTGTTTTTTCTGATGACATCTCCATTGTTGACGAAATCCCATGCAACCACCATGTTTTCCCGTTGTATTCTCCATCCCTCGGAACAAGCAGCACTGGCCGTGGACTTCGCCCGGGCCACTGCACCCGCGGGATGCGCGGCTCCAAATCGTCCGGAACGGCCATGGGATGAAAGACTTCCTGAAGCTTTCGAAAAAGATCTGGTTGCAACAAAAATAGCAGATATGTGGATATTTCATGGGATATTGTTGATGATTATTGATTAAAAAAATATATCATATCAAGAAGTGTTTGGATATGTATATATATTGTGGATTAATGATGATTGATGATGAAATTATAATTAATATTGCATAATGGAGATGATTGTGGTTGGATATGATGGTTGGATAGTTGCGTCCAAAATAGATGAAGATGATATGAATTAATTATCATGGATAGTTATATATATATAATGATATAATCTGGATAATATAGTATATGATATATGGACAATATACGGACAATATATTCCATGGATTATTTAACACTGGGGCTGGTAACATTCGAATTACTAGACTAATGATAATTTTGGGGATGGTTTATCATTCTTATTGTGGTTGATTTATTATGTTTGTTATTATATGGAATTATGATATCATATTCACATATTATTAATCAATTTATTTATTAACATTAATATTTAGTAATATTATCATTTATTAATTATAATATCATTTGTTATTGTCACTTATTTATTAACATATTTATCATGATATAATTATTGCTGGATAGTTAATGCTTCGAAAACAGAATAGATGAGACTATACAGATTTGGAACGATATAGTCTGGACAATACAATACATGATATATGGCTATATGGAGACATATGGACATATGGATATACGGATAGTGTATATATATATAATGATATATATATATATATACAAATACATATATATATAACAAGAATTATGGATGTATCTGGATATATGTAGTACTTTCACTATGGATATATCATATATGTGAATAATGGACCGAGATGATAAATGGATTACGATGGATTCTTCAGAATATACGGATACAATACATTTGGTACACAATTTCCATGGCAATGGGGAAAAATTATGGAAAAATCATGTGGCTGGATAAATAACCATCTACAATAAGTTTAGAATTATATTGGGTATATTACAACTACCCACGGTAGTTAAGTGCCAGCAACCCATTGGAACCATCATCGTTTTTCAGGGTTTTTTTCGGGTGCCAGCATCTTAATAAGGGCCCATGGAACTATATATGGATTGTATATGGCTATATGGACAAATGGATATATGGATAGTGTATGGATGTAATAAGTGCCAAAAAAGTGAAACATGGGAAAAGAGCGACACGCTTAGGACGTCCACAGAGGATTCATTTTTCTGTTATAAAACACTGCGCCTTCGCAGTGAAATGAGCCCCCTTTGGACGTTTCCTGCCCGTACAACTACAACAAATATACCTATAGTTAAACATTTAGTTGGATAAGCCATTACACCCGGGTTAGCTACGATTTACACTGATAAATAGACATATCTATAGTTAGATGGTGGTTTATACTGAATATATCTGGATATTCTGAATAAATTAGTATAAGCAATCAGCAACCTGAAATGAGGTCATTTGGGGAAGATTCCCTTTGTATATTACCCATCATACAGATGTATGGATATTCATGATGTAAGAATATAGTCTGGAAAGTATATATATATAGGGATTTATGGACAGTATATATATATATATAACGATAAGTGATGATATATGATGATGATTGGTGATATCATACGTGTTTTTCTATGTTTAGGTGATGATCCATTCTTTGTACAGTGAAAGATATTGCTAACTGCAGTTGATGATCCCATCATGCAAGTTACTGCCATGGGCATATGATGGGCATATGAGGGGACCCTTGCCATCGAACTTCCTGAAATTCAATCCTCCCAGGGATGGAATCTCCAGAGTCATGTGTATATACATCTAGATTATATATACGTACTGTACATACTGTACATAGTTCCTATGAAAATAATGATAGCTAGTGATGTATAGGATATTACCCATATGTACATATTCAGTAATACAAAATTATATGCATATTATACAAAAGGTATAGTCTCCAGTTTTATAATCATAGTGAAAAGATTTGAAAAGTAGGAATGTAGTGATCATCTACACTCATATAAGCCCCTAAACCTCTACAATCAATATACATTTGAACAGCTTAGCAGAACAAAGGTTCCAAGTTGTTTGATGAAATCTGTCGCTCAAGGAGATATGGGGAAACCCAATGACCAAGTCAAACCTGGATCAACTCTGGCGTCTGTTTTCCCACCAATGACCAAGTCAAATCAAGTCAAAATTGGGGGTCTATACTATCCTCAAAGAAAAAGACAACATACTTTGAAATTTGAATGTGTAGGTTTTCTGGAATTGCAACAGAATGTCTTGAAGTCTGGCCGCCAGGCCAAAAGACTTGCCAAAAGCTTCCTGTGGATTTCAACAAGATTCTGAGGATTGCTGGGACCCTCATCGGTCATTGGTCATGAAACACCGTGCTACGACTACCCGAAATCCCGAAATCGCAGCGCTTTAGCTGGATGGGAATGCCCCTGTATGGTAGATTATAAAGGTTTGATCCATACAGTATCCGTGTCTTCATCGAAGGTTCATCGAAATCATTTTCCCATGACTTCCGTTTGTATCGTCATCATCTCCATTTTTTGGTTAGTTAAATCCCCCCTGTTTGTTGGATTTCCCATCAGCCATCCGGCAATCAAACGTGGCAATGTGAAATTCGCTGAGACCCTCCATTAGTTCAGGGATTTTCCCACCAGCCACGTTTGATTGTCGGAGGCTACATCAGCAATATACAATAATATACATATACTTCTGTATCAGTATCATATAATGGTGGCATGTATATATATATATATATGCATGTATATATACATATGTATATTTATCATACGTATATATATATATATATATATTAAATTACAATATTATAACATAATATCTTGTAATATTTATCTTATAATATTACATAATAATACATAATATATATATATAGAGATATATCATAACTGATGTGATTGTCCATTCTTCTGCCAAGACTCCTGCGGCCAGTAATCTGAGCTTCGCCAGCCGGGGAGCGGGCCTCGGGAGCTGAAATCCAGCAATTCATAAGGACCTTTACCAGCAACACTTGGGGATTTATCTAGATTCAACACGGATTGGCTCTGATTGGTTTATGTTCTTCAAAAGAATAGAAACATGATTTTTACAGATTTCACCATGTCTGTTTGGTTTCTTGTTTGGTAACTCAACATTTTGACACCTACATGTACTACATGCAAACGAAACAATTTTGGAGATGATTGAAAATTCATGAGTTCCAAGGTTAGACCATATCAAAACATCCAATGGTGGCAGTTCAACATTTGACCCGTAAAATAAAGATGACTCCATAAAATTGTCAGAATTAAAGCATATTAAACATTATTATATAAACCATATTAAACCACATTATTGAAACGTATTAAACATTAATACAATCCGGAAAAAAACCCAACAAATGCAGCACAGGTGAGTATCCATAGACATCCATAGACCATGTTGAACATGATGAACCTATCCATGTCAAACCATCACCTCTTTCATCCCAGTCGCGGTCGTTGAGCGGACGGCGCTCCACCAAATGCTCCCAGCTGTGCAAACCAGGCATTCCTAGAGGTGCCAGGGATCAATAAGGTAAGGCCTGGGGATTTATGGTGATTTAATGATGATTTAATGGGTTTTGATCTAAACAAGAATCTGAGAAAACATGTGAATCGAACAGGAACAACAAGAGCTTTAATCGAAACAGCTTTCCGGCCGGAACCTGGGCGTGGACTTTATTGGATTGTGAGATGTCTTTAAGGTTCTTATGCAAAACACCATGGTGGGATCATCGTTTTGGTCCTCTTACAGTCTCAGTTCAAAGTGGCAATGAAGTGACTGGATTGCAACCCACGTCAGTAAAACATGTCAGCATCGTCTAAATCGGTTGGTCAAGTAGGGAGAATGATGAATTAGCCCCTGGCAATCGAACATGGCAATCCCAAATCCCTCATTTGTAGATGATTTTCCCAGCTATAAACCTCCATTAGTTCGGGGATCTTCCAGCTAGCCGCTAGCCACGTTTGGTTTTCCCAACAATTTTCAGCGAGACTCTGGTGCCCGGCAGCCCTTCCAATAAGATGTCATACGCCATGCGGCCAATGTCACGGTGCTCTTTTCCCTATTTATCATTGTGTAGATAGCTACTGTAACACTTGCTGATAGGCACAGATGGGCACAGTACAATCCCATTCACTTTGAAAGAAGTATCACCAGCTTTGATTCAATCTCATGTGTGGTCTGGGCTTGAAGCTGTACCTTTGAGCAGAAATTCCGCCCACGTGCATGGTTGATTTCCTTCCCCTGCTCCGCAGTTCTTTGACGATTTGTTTCATCACCTGCATTCAGTGCTAGCAGCACCATTTTTACAAAGTGCAAGCAGAAATCAGACCAAATTCAGCATGTCCAAGTTCCAAGACCCATAGTAGGTTGACTCTCCTGGCTGGTGAATTGTAGTAGACAAGACGACTGTCATGGTTTTCATGATTTACAGCAAATCAAACCCACTAGCCTAGCCAACAAACGTGCATGAATATACTGTCAATCAGGGTGATATGGCCATGGCCCTCTTGAAGCCACATGAAACCATGTTTCGGACATGCAGACATGTGCCACGGGCTGCCGGACGTGCTGTCGATTTTCCAGCGACTTTCTACATCTCAAGATATCTCAAGCTACCAGCCGACCAGCCTTTGGGTTAGCTTAGTGCAGTTCGTTGATTCCTCAGCATGTCGATGGCTTCCGCCGTGCCGTCGACGAAGTACTCCACGGCAGATGGATGCGCTGTGCCAGTGTAGAATCGCGAGATCAAAGTGTCCTCCGATGCGCCCGAGAATCAAGGGAACTTGCAGGAACCTAATTGGTACTGGCTGGTTCTTGTCAGGTTTTCCCTGATTAGCCAAAATATCATCCCAAAAAAGGGCGTGTAGTATATACAAGTATATAATAGTATATATATATAACTATTTATAACGATATATCAAAAAACTCTTAAGCTGCCAACTAGTATGTTGGGGACTGCTCAATGAAGGTACCTAACATATGTAATCTCTGTGTAAGGCCGTGTAAGGCCTATCATGTTGGCAATTTCCCCTGGGCCACAAGGAGAGGATGCTGTTTGAAAAGGGGATAGATGGGGATAGGTAGGATGACGAAGGGAGAATGATGACATAGAATAATAATCTATTAATAATGAATAATATAGAATCTTCATGGTCACATGAACCACACATAAAGTGCAATGCTCAACATGATTCAAAATGTAGATGTGGTCCCACAATGGGAATCGTATTGATGACCATCTTGATGGATCAAAAAACTGCCATGTGATGTTGATTCTGATGATTTCTCCGTATCATCTGACCCAAAAAGGACTCGGGCAAAAACGTAGGTTTTTGATGGTGTTTCATCAATCCCATAAAAATAGTGACATGGAACCTGGTGAGTGAAACATGATAAACATGGAGTTCCACAATTCATCAAGGAAAAACCCTCCTGAAGGGAGGGGAAAAAAACCTCGATGCAAGATGGTGTTTCTCGTTCCAATGCTTGGGTACTGTCCCATGTGTTTTTGTCCATTAAAATTGCCGTTGTTGGGGTATCAACCCAACTGTAAGCTGCAAACCAAACCCACAGATCCAACCAAATGATATTTCACTGAAGCCTTCAATAATGCAGGGTAAACCCCGTGATAAATAATAAATCAATAATAACACTACATAATAAAGAACACATATGCTAAACAACAACTATAATAACTGGTAAACAATCAATAGCAATGTAGTAATACCAATAATGATAACACATGATAACACTAATTAATGACAATAATGATGCTAATGATACATAATAATACCAATACATACCAATAATATACATACGTACAATAATGATAATCAATAAATACCAATACATCATACAATAATGATAACATGAATGGTTGATGTCAAGTCTCAAGTGAAACAGTGATTAATGATAAATATACAATACCCTCTGGTAATTTAACGTAGCTATGGAAAATCACCATTCTTAATGGGAAAACTCACTATGAATGGTCATTTTCAATAGCTATGTTAAATTACCAGAGGGTAATCATATATAATCGTATTAACAATAATCCATCCCGGCCCCGTTTTTTGCCGAGTTTCGCCCAGCACTAGGCGGCCCTGGCACCTGCTGTGCACTCGACCGTCGGCCTGGGCGGTGTGGCCCACCACCATGCCTCAGGCGGGGATTCTTTGGGTTGAACTTTGAAGAATGGGAAAGTCCGACTGGTTTCCTGTAGATGTTTCATGTTTCCTTCATCAAATTTTGGGACAGCTGCGGAAGCAAATCATAGATCTCGATGGATCGAGGTAGATTCGAATTACTGTAGATCAAGGCCTTGGGAAAAATCTGGTTGTCATATCACAGCTGGTAGTTCAATTGCGGGAGGAAAGGATAGCTGTTCCAAACCTTGAATAGTGAAGAGTGGGTCTATGACATTCTATGACAGCTTGATAGATATCATAGTCTTTGTGGATTAAAATGTATTACAATCATCATCAACTAGCCACTTTTGACCCAGAAAAGGCTGCTGTTTCCTGGGCGAAATCGGAGTTCGCAACCGAGTTCGCCATGTGCTGGGGGGTGCGGTTGCGCTACCTGAACCCTCCCACCCTGTTCAGATGGGAATAACGCCACAAAAATTATACATTACACACATACATATAATATATATATACATATAAGAGAGATATCCTTCCAAAAAGGTAGAAAAATATAGACAAAAGTAAAGAACAACGTAAAACAGTAAACCCTTTAAAGAAGCAGTATCCCTACAAAATGTAGAGCATTCCTCTAAACATGCAGTGTTCCTTTCTGAAGAAATGAAGTTGTCCTTTCAAAATACATCGAGCATATCCCCATTGTATATAGTAATAGTAAAACCTAGTCAAACTCCACACATGTCAATTTCAAGTTCAATTTAAATCCCATAAAGGTGCTCTATCTCTCAGCTGGCGACAACAAAAATTGGGATCAAAACAAGCTGCGGGTCACGCCCACGAGATCCAAGCTCTCCTGCACCTCGCGGCAGATGCTGCCTTCGGGCCCAAGCGCCAAGCGCCGCGTCCAGAAGGGACCGTCATCGCCCCTGGGGAGATGGAGATGGGAAAGACTCAAACTTCGATTCTCTGTCTATCGTATCTTAGCTTGTCTATCTACCTACCCACGTATCTATATGTCTATCTATATGTCTATCTATTGTTCTCTCGATCTTTCTTTATTTATTTCTTTATTTCGTTCTTTCTTTTCTTTCTTTCGTTCGTTCCTATCTATCTATCTGGATCTATCTGTCTGTCTATCTATCTATCTACCTGTCTGTCTGTCTGTCTGTCTGTCTATCTATATATTCATATATCTAGCTATCTATATATATATATAACTATATGTACATCTATCTATCGGTCTTTCTTTCTCTCTTTATGAATGGACATGAAAACGCCGATATTATCTATGTAAGGATGTATATATATGTATATAATTATATATGTATGTAAGGCCCTCTATATACTTATACGCTCTTTTACAATGTAAGATTATCTATGTATCTATTACAGGGAAAAGCTTAAGTCGTTTCTTTTTTTTGATTTTTGCACACCCTTTCAGCACAAAATGGTTCTAGGATGTCGTACCTTTTCCTTCATTATGCTTGTGATTCCCATGTTTTGGGATATGTACGGGTTGATCATGTGTTGTGCTGTGGAAGACGCGGTGCCTTGCTGTTGTGCCTGCTTGGGGCTTAGATATGACTAGTAGGTAGCCAATCAGTTCTATGGCGGTGTCATTGTGAATTGTCTTTGCAATGAATTATGTTCCTTCCCGAATATATATTTCATGGCTACATTGATTGTTGTATATAGTTCCTACTGTTCCTGCAAATTTTGATTGCCGGAGCAATCTTGATTTGATATTTGCTTGTTTAGGCTGTCTGTGGGAAGCCGACCCGAGTGAAGCCCAACAATGGGCAATATGTTTTGTGAAAAATTTGCAACAACAAATAATACATGGGGTCTTAAAAGTCTTGCAGAAAGGATTCCTTGAAACGCGGTTCCATGTGCATGTGTGCCCAGCATCCTGAGCTTTGACTGCAGCCTTTTCTTGCCAATTGCTTCCCCACACTTGCACGCTGCACGCTTCTTCGAGCGCTGTTGCTTGGTCTTTTTTTCGTTTTTGGCATCAGATGCGTTTTTGCGACTGGCTTTTGTTTTTTTGCAGCAACCTCCCAAGGATAAAGTGACTGACTTGTCGCTGTGTCTAGTCTGCCTTTGTCGCTAGCTTTAGGTTTCACAGATATGGCCGTGCAGACTCCAAAGAAGGGGCCAAATCTGAAGCGCCATTTGGAAGATACGCCTGAGAAGGCTCATGCTCAGACAGTGCCAGAGGTTGTGAAACGTTTGCGGCGAGATCATTCGAAGGCTTTTGGTGAAATTAGGGGAATGAAGTTGGAGCCAGGGAACAAATACACTGAACCAGGGTGTGTCCCAGGTATGGTTGTCAATTGTTTCTTCTGTAACCGGGCCAAGCACAGCTGTTCCTGGCATTATCAGTTCAGGAATGTGCGTTGGGCTGCTGGCTCCACATGCTTGTGTTGTTCGGAGGCGTGTAAGCGTCTCAAGGCTGGCACAAGGTCCACCCAAGTGCTCGACAAAGTCGGCCTGAAACCTGTAGTGGCTGAAGTCTCGAAGCTTTTGCAGGCTTCCAGGGGCAGTGATGACACATGCATTTGCCACAAGTGTAAGGTTGGCAATGGCAAGTAGGGCTGGTTTTCAAGTGACGCAGCTGCCATCGAATGGGGTCGTGGCATGCTAGCACCTGAACTGATCCGAACCGATCATCAAAAAGAGTTCAAAAGGATATGCATGCAACGTGCACTGCATGGAGTTTGTTTTAGCATCGGACCTTCCGTCAACATCTTTGCCTCTTATTCCCTGGTGCACCCGCCCTTGCTGTCGGCCGGGGTTGGCGGATTTTTTATTCGTGCAGCGCCGCAGCGCCCTCCATGTTCAGATGCACCCAAGTGTTGCAAGATCATTTGTCGTGAGCTGACGCAGACCCCATGCAGGAAGTAGAAGCATCCTACTGCAATGTGTTACCTGCAACCACCTACTACCACTTAGATCTAGCGACAACCAGTGATTGTTTCTTGTCCACATACACATGCGCCAGCACATATTGGAGGCAGGCCATCTTAAGCACACCAAACACAGCGAGCATTAGGAACGAAAGACGCTCAGAAGCACATCTCCCCTGCGAATTTGCGCAAGACTCTACGCAGCAAGTAGCACCTAAGTCACCCAAGTATATTTGCGCTCTCCATGCTTCAGCCAGGGGTCGGCGGATTTTAGATGTCACTGTCACTGTCACTGGTCAGGAGGACAGTTGCCGTTTTGCATGGATAGAGAAGGAGTCATACATGTCCACATGCACATGTGTATGCGCAGTATCGCGGGCAGGCTACTTCAAGCACACCAGCAAGCACAGCGAGCAATAGGAACGAAAAGACGCTCAGAAAGACATGTCCCATGCGATCTTGCGCAAGACACTACGCAGTACTTGTAAGTATAGCACCTTAATGAATTTTGTAGTTGCCTCTCCGACGCGCTCAGCCTGCTTTAGGCAGGGGTCGGCGGATTTTGGATTTCACTGTCACTGCCACTGATCTCAGGACGGTTGCCATTTTGTATGGATAGAGCAGGAGTCATACATGTCAGCATGCACATGTGTATGCGTAGTAGCGGGGGCAGGCGACTTCAAGCACACGAGCAAGCACAGCGAGCAATAGGAACAACGAAAAGACGGTCAGAAACACCATGCGATCTTGCGCAAGACTCTACGCAGTACTAGTACGCTCAGCCTGCTCTAGACAGGGGTCGGCGGATTATGGATTTCATAGCACTGTCACTGATCAGGAGGACAGTTGCCGTTTTGCATGGATAGAGAAGGAGTCATACATGTCCACATGCACATGTGTATGCGCAGTATCGCGGGCAGGCTACTTCAAGCACACCAGCAAGCACAGCGAGCAATAGGAACGAAAAGACGCTCAGAAAGACATGTCCCATGCGATCTTGCGCAAGACACTACGCAGTACTTGTAAGTATAGCACCTTAATGAATTTTGTAGTTGCCTCTCCGACGCGCTCAGCCTGCTTTAGACAGGGGTCGGCGGATTTTGGCTTTCACTGTCACTGCCACTAATCTCAGGACGGTTGCCATTTCGCATGGATAGAGAAGGAGTCATACATGTCCGCATGCACATGTGTATTCGTAGTATCGGGGGCAGGCTGCTTCAAGCACACCAGCAAGCACAGCGAGCAATAGGAACGACGAAAGACGCTCAGAAACACCATGCGATCTTGCGCAAGACTCTATGCAGCCCTAGTACGCTCAGCCTGCTTTCGACAGGGGTCGGCGGATTTTAGATTTCACTGTCGCTGTCACTGATCAGCAGGACGGTTGCATGGATGGGGAAGGAATCATGCATGTCCGCATGCACATGTGTATGCGTAGTTTCGCGGGCAGGCTACTTCAAGCACACCAGCAAGCACAGCGAGCAATAGGAACGAAAAGACGCTCAGAAAGACATGTCCCATGCGATCTTGCGCAAGACACTACGCAGTACTTGTAAGTATAGCACCTTAATGAATTTTGTAGTTGCCTCTCCGACGCGCTCAGCCTGCTTTAGGCAGGGGTCGGCGGATTTTGGATTTCACTGTCACTGCCACTGATCTCAGGACGGTTGCCCTTTTGAATGGATAGAGAAGGAGTCATACATGTCCACATGCACATGTGTATGCGATATATCGGTGGCAGGCTACTTCAAGCACACCAAGCACAGCGAGCAATAGGAACGAAAGACGCTCAGAAACACATATCCCGTGCGATCTTGCGCAAGACTCTACGCAGTACTATAGGAAGTATAGAACTTTATAATTGCTTCTCCGACGCAGTCTGCAGTCTGCTCTAGATGGGGGTCGGCGGATTTTGGATTTCACTGTCACTATGCCTGACCACGGGACGGTTTCCTTATGCTCACGCGGGACGCTCTGCAATCATGATGTTCTTCGATTTTATATTTGGTGTCGTTGATGCTGGCTCTTTCTTATCTTTCTTAGTTCTTCCACAATAAGGAACTTCTTTTATACAATATGAAATCATCAGAACCAGGCTGAATTTGGCCTTGCATCTTGATTTTGGAAAAATGGCATACAATTTTGTCTAATTATTTGGATCTTCTCGCAGGCTTGCCTTTACAAGGCTTCAAGCCTATCGATACGGATCCGTGCCTTTCATTTTCTTTTCATCTGCCCATCCTTGATGCCGCCCAAGTATTCCAAGAGTGAGATTGTGAGACTTTCAGCTGCAAATCTGGCGAAAGCATGCGATGAATGGAGCGTCAGTTGGGAAGCCGGTAAGGATGATTTGCTGATAAAAGCGGCATTGTTTGAGAAGATCCACTGCACTTCCACAATTGCCAAGTCAGGACTCAAACGCTAATTGGGATCATGCCTATCACAATGTTTGAAAACGTCCTTGGGCTTAGAATTGGATTTAACTGATCTCGTCCGGATCTCGTTTGATCTCGTCCGAGATCTCGTCCGGAACAGCTGTGAAAACCCTGCAGGAGCCACAGGAATTGACACGCCTTCTGCAAGTGCTGCACACACGCAGCCTGATGCAGCACCTCCCTTGCCTCCTCCAGCAGAAGACCCTCCTCAGGAAACAGATCCTGTGAAGAGATGTGAAGATTGTGGCGCAAAGTTAGATTTGTCAACGCAATCAGTTTTGCCTGCCTATTGCAAGCGATGCTTTGCAGCCGAGGCGGCTTTGAGTCGAGCAGGGAAATTGGACAATAGCCGCGATGCATGTGTTCTTTGTGCTGGAAAGATCAATGCAGACAACAAAAGTCCTGTACCTTGTTGCTGCTTCATCTGCTATGAGCAGCAGTCGCAAGTTGAAGATGCCATTGTGGCAGCCGGGGCAGCACCAGTTGACCAGCAAGCTGAAGACAAAGTTGTTGCAGATACAGATAGGAGTGCTGAACAAAAGGAGGTTGTCGCGGCTAGCCTAGATGGCCAGCGAAGCGACGCCT